TCTCACACACACACACACACACACACACCCACTCACACGCACTCACACACACGCACTCACACACTCACACACACACACTCACACACACACAATAAAATAATAATAATATAAAATAAAATAATAAATATAAAATGAAATAAAAATATTAGATAAAAAAACTTGAAAATATCAAGGTATGAAAATAAATTAAAACTAATATATATATATGTACAAGTACAACTGAAATAAAAAGAAATAAAGAAAAAAACAAATAGTAATAAAAATGACACAAAACACAAATAAAACTTAAAATGAAAAATACAAATACAGTTTATGACAAAACTGATTGTTTTGTATTCTGTTTTTTATTAACAGAAATTATGAGTATTAATTATATTTAATTAATTATGAATCATTTTGTGATTGTGTTTCAAGAACCGTATGTTCTTCAATAAAAACCAATTGTTATTAAAATATTATTATTACATTTTTATAGGTTTTTTTTCACCACACAATCAAAAGAATAAAAACAAGAAATTATATTTTGCATATAGAAAATGAAGCCTATTTTAGGACTATTATTATTTTATTTATTGTGACATCATTTTCATAACAATTAAACACATTTTACCCAAAATTATCATTACTACAATGCATCCAGACACAAGATATATTAATGGTCCTGTTTATGCAAAATATGATTTCTAGTGTGTATTTATTTTTTGTTTTTATTCTTTTGATTTTAGAGTAAAATCTTTTCGACAGGTTTCACAATACACTTAATTTTTATGAATAAATATAATTTCAGTTTATGTTTTTGTTGTATTTGAATTTAGGCTGAATTTAAATTCTAATGAATATTAAAACAGCAGTTAAGAGTATTTAAATTAGTAAAGCAATGAAGCAGTAGAAGAATTGCGGTGTTTGATTGTCCGTGACACACACAAGGTAAAGCGGTTCAGGTCACTCCCACACCGAACATGAAGCTCTTCCACGCCTCCACGCTCTCATCTATTTATAAATATTGATATATCTGCTCATCTGCAGCATACGTGAGCGGCTCATGGCTGTGTGATACTGATTGTTAAGCGGCCCGAGCATTCAGAAGGAAGACACTAGCTGACCAGTTCACACCGCAGTGATTTTAGGAGGAGATGAACTCACACCTTTGATCACATGACTGTCACGCTACAGCATCAAAGACGATATGATGCATCATAATAGTCGTCCATACGACTCTCGACTCGTGCGCTGTATTACTGTGATAGCACTGTGATAGTTTTGTGTGACTAATATTTATAGGGATATTTTGCCCAGAAATTAACGTTTGCTGTCCCTCAAGTTATTCCAAACCTGTGCGAGATTCTTTCTTCTATTGAGCACAAAAGAAGATATTTTGAAGAGCATTGGTAACCAAACGGTTACCGGTAGCCACTGACTTCCATAGTATGGAAAAAAATACAATGGAAGTCAATGGCTACCGGTAACTTTTGTTACCAATGTTCTTCTACTTCTTTTTCTTTTTTATATATATATATATATATATATATAGTTTATGCACATACAATTTATAGTTTATGTTCCTCAAAATATTTAGAAGACACTTAGAAAAACACACAAAAGAAGATATTTTGAAGAATGTTGGTAACCAAACAGTTACCGGTAGCCACTGACTTCCATAGTATGGAAAAAAATACAATGGAAGTCAATGGGTGCCATCAACTGTTTGGTTACCAACATTCTACAAAATATTTAGAAGACACTTACAGTGTGTTCACACCAGACGCGAATTTAATTATTCGTGCGAGTAGATCACATACAAAGTCAATGCAAAGACGTGAATAGAGGCGAATTCGCGCCAGGCGACGCGGATGACGCGAAATGCGGGGTGAACTATCCCTTTAAATTATCCACTTAAAATCTCATAATCATTGATTAAATTGACATGTTGTCTTACATTTACGTTCATGCATTTGGTTGATGCTTTTGTCCGAAGTTACTTGCATTGCATTGCATAATTAATAATAATAATAATAAACATGACAAAAGCACATAACAAAATTAATTAAATTAAAATAAAATAAAAATTTAATTCTTAACAAATACTGTAGTAGTATATGAAGAGTTCATTTGCAAAAACCGATAAACGGCACTTAAAAAAAAAATGCCGCGCATTATTTTCCACATATAGCGCGATCTGAACCCTAAACACGTTTTGTCAAAAAAGCCGGTTTTGTCCACTTTCACGTTTTACTGCAGAAGCCGACAAGCGCCCTTGCTGTTTCTGAACAGAAGCCGATAAGTCCATTTTAGCCAATCAGCGCGCTGTATTCAGGTCAGGTGACAAGGCTACTTTCACTTTGAAAAGACGCGCTAGCTGAGAGGAGTTTCGTCAAAGCTGGCTAAAAGTGATCGAGGATGGATAATTTCGACGAACCTGTGATATCTTCTTCAGGGCGAAAAAGGAAAATAAAAGCTGAAAGGTTTTCACGGACGCTTGCAAAAGCAGCGCTTTACACTGGTGAGGGAAAGCTCCGTGTATTGCGTGTAATCACATCCATACAGTTTATGATCACAACAACAACAACGTTTGTCAGGCATCTACATTATCATCTGAGGAGATTACAAAGATTAAACCAGGGTTTTTTAAACTCTAAAACATGAAATATGGAGTTATCTGCTTTTGCCAAAAAACAAACTTTTAATATGTAAAAAA